GGTGTGTGCCCCACAGGCTCATAAGGAGCCCAGGTTCTGGGAGGGAGGGGAGTGGGATCGGCCCCAGGGGTCCCCAGCACTGCGGGGCCCTGGCTGCCCCCAGCTCCGGGAAGCACAGTCCAAGGGCTACCAGGCAGTGGAAAAATTCGGAGCTAAAAATACAGTGTGGCAGCCCCTGCCTTCAGTTCCGGAACCCCGTTCCTGCCGGTTTACCCGCCTTCCCCAAGGAAGACAAGCTCCCTCCTTGCACCCCGCCCCCGCCCTCACTGGCTCTGGGCCCAGAAGCAGTGCCAGCCCCTCGGGATGTTGGCAGGGCCGCCCTGAAGCTGCCTGCCCACAGCAGCCAGCCCCTCTCACCGGTGCCCGGGTCCCCAGCCTGTGCCCTCCCTGGCCCTCGCCGCCACCCCAGGTCCCCACGCCCTCGCAAGGATCACGGAGCAGGAGCCCCCCCCCCCCCCCCCCCCCCCGGGTCCAGCGTGCAGAGCTCTGGCACCAGGACGCTCAGCAGCCGGACACAGCCCGGCCTGGGGGTGGGGGGCTCTCCGGCTCTGGCTCAGTTTCCCCATTTACGTATCCGGGGGTGCCTCTGAGGTCGGGTTGGGGGCAGCTTTGACCCCGCCCCCCTGCACACAACGTGACAGACAGGCAGGGGCGGTGGCGCGCCATGAGTCAGCACAGCTGCCTGGGCCTGTGGGCGCCGGGATGCAGGTGCGCGCCGGAGAGCAGATGGGCGTGCAGGGGGCCAGCGTCCAGTCTCCTCCGGGCCCCCAAGGCTGCCCGTGTGCGCCGCCTGAGCGCGGGTGAGCCCTGGGCCGACCCAGGAGAGCCTCGACCGAGGCCGGCCTTCGGGGGTCACAGTCTGGGAGGGGAGGCGTGGCCCCGCCCCCACGGGAACCCCGCGTTACTGGCAGAAAAACTGGAACGCTGGAGAGCCGCGGGCAGCCTCCCGCTCGGGTCGGAGCCGCAGCCTCTTCCTCTGCACACTTCCACGGGAGCGGGGCTGGGGACGGAGGGGCGCCCCCAGCTGCCCTGGGGACAGGCCACGGCCCCGAACCGAGGAGACCCCCGTGCTCTTCAGCGGGTGGTGCCGGCTGCAAAACTTGTGCCAACGAACATTCCTGCACCGGCCGCGCCCCGCGGGGGGGCCCGGGTCCCCGTTCCCGAGCGCGTGGCCCCGCCCCCGCAGGCTGGCCCAGCCCCGCCCGCGGGGCCGGGAATGCGACGGTCCCAGCGACCCCGCCCTGTCTCGGCGCCCGGGCTGGCGGGGGGGCCCGGTGCCCAGCCCACAAGCTGGGCACGGCTGGGCCGGCTGGAGGCCGGGGCCCGCGTGGCCTCAGCCACAGCGCCCCGGGGCGCGCACTCCGCCCGCCGGGGCCCCGCAGCCACCGCCGCGTCGGCGACCGCGAACAGAGGGGCAGCGTGCCTTCCCCGCGGCGCACAGCCGCGCTTCCGTCCGCGCTGCCGCCCACGCAGGCCCCTCGCTGTTCCGACTCCCCCCGGGGCTCGGGCGGAAGTGTTTGGCCGGGAGCGGCAGAGGCCGTTTATTCTGAGCCGCTTCAGGCGGGGAGTGGGTCACCGCCGCTTGGACAGACTCCAGGCGGCCGGAGGGTGGGAGACTTCCGGTCTCTGCTATGTGTGTGTATGTCCACCTTCCTGCGCGTGCGTAGTGTATGCATGTGGTGCATCTATACGTATTTTCAAGCATTCGTTTTTTCAAATTATTAACATTTTATTTTATAATTATTTATTATTTATTGAAATAATCTCTACACCCAACGTGGGGCTCAAACCCACCCTGAGATCAAGAGTCGGACACTCCTCTGACTGAGCCAGCCAGGCAGACGGCCCACATCTATACGTCTTATATGTAATCATTGCCGTGTGTGTAATATTGTGTGCACGCATACGAGGTATTCCTGTAGGACGCACATGCGTGTTACACGATACATGCTTACTACATGTGTGCAATGTGCGCACATGAGGTGTTTGTGCAGTGCGCACATGCATGATACATGGTGCATGCTTACTGCATGTGATACGTGCACGCATATGAGGTATTCCTGTGGTGCACATGCATGTTGCATGCTTACTGCGTGTGTGTAAGATGATGTGCATATACCTACTGTGCAGTGTGTGTATGTACTAAGGAATACACGGGTTAATTATCACTATGCAGTACGTACAATATCTGAGTGTATAGGATGTGTACAAGTAGTACACACATGTGCACTGTAGAATGTATATGTTAATATTTAAGTGTTTTCTGTGTATAGAAAGCTTTGTGGAAGTCAAAAGGGGGCTCGGGGGTAGCCGGAGGTCTGGGGAAGCGAGGCAGCCCACGTGATTGCTCGGGGAGCACGCACGGCTTTCTGCTTGGTCCACAGTTGGAAGTGGCAACGAGAATTGTGGGAGCGGTCACCCAGCCCCAGCCACTGGGGACCCCGTCCCAGGGTGGGTGGCTGTCCGAGATAGAGGTCCGACTTCCGGCAGGTCTGCAGCGGGGAGAGCCGGCTTCCTCCCGGGCTGGGCTGCAGTTGGTGGTCAGAGTCCTGTCTTCATATCTGGCCCGGCCGCAGCCCATCCGTGGACTCAGGAGCTCGTCTTGAAGGGCAGTTGAACATTTCTAGGGAGACAGCCCTGGATGAGGCTGGGCAGCCTGGTGGCCTAACGGAGGGGAAGAGTGACCCCACCCAACTGGGCTCACTCCCCTAGTTGGACGCCCTGTCCACGCGGGGCCACTGCCCAGTGCCTTGTGGCACATGGCCAGCTTGTGACACTCAGCTCCAAGGCACACAGCTTCGTGGACAGGCAGGTGGATGGGCTGGTCACCTGCCACTGTGGTCCCACCCACCCCAGCTCCACAGACCAAAGGAGCCCCCACAGGTGGGGTCTCTGGGGGTAGCGAGCCCATGGCCCCCGGGAACTGGGAGCGCACAGAGGGGACTGGGCAATGCCCGGTGGGGCGTTGAGGCCATGCCGGCTGGCTCCGGGAGGTTGTTTTCTGCATCTAGCGACCCCTGGGGCTCTGGGCTGGGGACGACACTTCTTCGGATGCTGGAGGCCCGGCCTGGGAGAGTTCGTGTTCCAGCCACTGAGCCTGTGCCAGGGAAGCAGGGACCGGCTGGTGGGGGTGGGGCGGGGCAGGGGCGGGGAAGGAAGGGGGTGGGGCCGGGCAGCCCAGCTGTATCTAGGCAGCAGCACCAGAGGTGCGTGGCAGTGTGTGCTCTTCATGGTGGTGGGAGCGGCCCCTCCCCTGCCACCGGGAGGCTGCCCAGGAGGGACCAGAGCCGCAGGCGGGCAGCACAGCGGTCAGTGATGAGAAGAGGGGAGAGTGTGCGGCACAGCCCGAGGCAGGGCCTGGAATGGGTGGGCAGAGGCAGCCGGAAGGTCTTGCGCATCTGGGTGAGTGGACGGTGGGGGAAGGGCGAGAGGGTCAGGCCTGAGGGGGCAGGGGACCCATGCAGTCACAGGGAGGGCTGTAAGGGCTCCTGGGGGAGGGTGACGGCCACCCAGGGATGCCCATACCCGCTCCCTCTCAGGGCATCTCCAGGAGGCTGACCCAGAGGTTCGGGCGACGGAAGGGGGGCTCAGGGCCGGTGAGCCCAGAGCTGGGTGCACACGCAGGCCAGAGCCGCTCTTCCCCGCCAGCCGCCTCCTTGGGGGACCCCAGGGGCCTTCCCGGCAGTCAGCCAGGGCTGGGTGGGGGCGCTGGGCTCCTGGCATGGACAAACAGGAGGGATGCTGAAAGGTGCCAGGCCAGCCGGGCCGGTGGAGGAGGGGAGGGGGCCAGAGGCTCCGGAAGCCCAAGGGACGATACCCGAGACTCCCCGAGGCAGAGGGGGTGCGAGGCCTCCAGATGTACCGACCGTGAGCACAGAGGGCCCACAGCCCAGCCAGGGACAGGCCGCTGGGCTCTTCGTGCCCGCTCGGCCTCCATCTCCTGTGTGACCTCAGATGGCCCCTGGGGTCTCGCCGCCACTTACCAGGTCCCGCAGCCCTGAGATCCCAGGCCGGCCTCTCCCAGCCCCCCTCGGACTGGGGTCCAGTCTCACTCAGCTCTGCCCTTCCCAGCTTGGGGGCGGTGGGCACGTGACTTGGCTTCTCTGGGCACCTCCCTGGTTCCCGTCTTGTCACGTGGGCGCGGCGGGAGGCTGGGGGGCTGGAGCTGGCGGTGGCTGCCCCGGGCGCGGGGGTACTGCCACGCTTGGCTCCTGGGCTCCCTCTCGCAGCCCCATGTGTCCTTCTCAGGCTCTAAATATAAGACCCGAGCCACACATGGTCGTGGGAGAGCCTGGGCTGCCCCTGACCTTTGAGGCCAGTCCCCAGGGGCCGTGGTTGAGGACGGCGTCACCACTGAGGGCCTGGAGTAGGGAGCTTGCTGGGGGACAGAGGCACAGCCTGCCCTCTTTAGGGGAGAGGTGTGCGTTAGGGGGACATCTGGTGCTCTGTCCACACCGGTTGGCAAACGAAGGGCCCCGGAAGCCAGGGCCTGGCAGGGCGGCTGCTTCCCCCCGGGGAAGGCCGTGACTGCGTGGGCACCGGGCATGACCCTCAAGTCAGCCCCTCCCCCAGCACACCCCCAGAAGCGCCCAGGGCCTGGAGTTGCCCTGCCCAGTGGGCAGGGGAAGGCTCTGGGACAAGATAAGGGAGCCTGGGAGATGGCACTTTCGTTACATCATCACTGCTGGGTCAGTGGTATTCCTGCGGGTATAGCCGCCTTGAGGCCCTCGGGTGGGCAGGGAGGCGGTGCTGCTGCCCGCCCTGCTGCTGCGGCGGTTCCGTCGGGGGTGGGCACCAGGAGCGCCTGGCACGGAGGAAGCCCCGGAGCGGTGGCAGCCCTGGTGGGACGCGGGTCTGCCCACAGCGTCCGCTCGGCAAGCCCGGTGTGAGCAGGACGCAGGGCAAACCCGTTGGGCAGGTGGGGATACTGAGGCCGGGGACACCCCCCAGGGGGGCCGGGTTGGGCTGGGGACTCACGCTCCCCTCCCCCGGCCCCGCAGTTCGGCAAGATGTCGGTGAAGGAGGGCGCGCAGCGCAAGTGGGCGGTGCTGAAAGAGAAGCTGGGGGCGCAGGACGCGGACCCCACGGAGGCCAACCTGGAGAGCGCCGACCCCGAGCTGTGCATCCGGCTGCTGCAGATGCCGTCCGTGGTCAACTACTCGGGGCTGCGCAAGCGCCTGGAGAGCAGCGACGGCGGCTGGATGGTGCAGTTCCTGGAGCAGAGCGGCCTGGACTTGCTGCTCGAGGCCCTGGCGCGCCTGTCCGGCCGCGGGGTGGCCCGCATCGCCGACGCCCTCCTGCAGCTCACCTGCATCAGCTGCGTGCGCGCTGTCTTGAACTCGCAGCAGGGCGTCGAGTACATCCTCAGCAACCAGGCCTACGTGCGCCAGCTCTCCCTGGGTGAGCCGCGGCCCACGGGGGGCCACCGGGCGGCCAGACCGCCACAGACACCCCTTAGCGACTCTGCGTGAGGCTCCAGGCCATGGAGGACAGCAGGAGGGCTGGGGTCATGGGAGAGGACTCAGCTGGGCAGCCAGGGAGGGCTTCCTGGAGGAGGAACCAGGTTCCCATTCGCCCCAGGCCCGAGATATCCGGGTCACCTTGGAGCCACGGTCCTCCACCAGCTGCACCTCGCTGCCCCCTCTGCTCTGTGACTTTGCCTGGCCTCCCCATCCAGCCCTGTGCTTGTCGGGGCCGCACCCCTTCCCAGTTCTGGCCTACACCACACCCACCACCCGCCACCCAGGTGCCTGCCCTGGCAGCTGGACTCACAAAACCCAAGTCCCGCTGACATCCCACCCGCCCCAGGCCCTTTGACCCTGACTGGAACCACAGCCCTTCAGTTCCAGGCTTGCCAATGGCATCTTCCTCCACCTTCCCCCGCACCCCTGCCCCTACTCGCTCTGTGCCCTGTCCAGCCCCCAGGGGGCTCCCCCTTCCAGCCCCCAGCCTCCTGCTCAGGCTTTGTGTGCCTGCTGACTCCTTACGTTCTGACTCACGAACACCTCCTCTAGGAAGTCCCCCAAGGCCGCGCCCAGGGTTAGTCTTCAGCCCTTGAGAGCAACCTCAGGTGGCCCTTAGTGAACAAGGATCACTGTGTGTCCCTTGCCTGCCGAGCTGTGCTGCCCCATGGGAGCCACCCGGTCCCACCGATGCTTGGGGCTCCAGGAGGGGCAGTGATGGGTGAGTCGGCCCGTGGGTGGGCGAGTGCCTGTGTGGGTGAGCGAGCCACAGGCCTCCTGATCCCTGCCCTGCGCAGCCTGGGCTGGGCTGTACCCCCACCCCCCCCGTGCCAGCTCAGGCCGTGAGGACCGGGAGGCATCGCAGGCTGTCGTAAGCACACTTGGTACTGAGTTTGATGAGAACATGGGGCCAGATCCAGCAGGGACCCCTCTCAGAACTGAGGCCCAGCCCAAGCGGACCCCCACCCGCAAGCCCCTCCCTGCGGGGTCTGCGCACCTGGGGAGGCCAGCCTGGAGGTGGCCAGTGGGCTGGTGCAGAGCGCCCTCTGGTGTCCACCTGCGGGAGTGTGAGTCCAGGTCAGACAGCCCCGGGGGGGGGGGGGGGGGGGGGGGGGGGGCGGGGGTGGTGATGAGCCGCTGAGGAGGAGGAGGACCCCGCTGAGACACCCCCCACCCCCCCCCCCCGCCCTTGGCAGCTCTGGACACATCCAACGTGATGGTCAAGAAGCAGGTGTTTGAGCTGCTGGCTGCCTTGTGCATCTACTCGCCCGAGGGCCACGTGCTGACCCTGGACGCCCTGGACCACTACAAGGTGAGCCTCGGGGGCCTAGGGCCTCGGTGGGCCTGGGGTGCGCCCTGACCCCGCCCACCCCATCCTGCAGACCGTGTGCAGCCAGCAGTACCGCTTCAGTGTCATCATGAACGAGCTCTCGGACAGTGACAACGTGCCCTACGTGGTCACCCTGCTCAGTGTGATCAACGCCATCATCCTGGGCCCCGAGGACCTGCGCACCCGCACACAGCTACGCGGGGAGTTCACCGGTAACCGCCCGCAGCCCCGTGGCCTCCCTGGGCCTCCGCCGCCGGTGCCCCGTGGCCGGCCTGGCCCGCGCCCCCCACCCCAGGACCCCAGAGGAAGGAGGTAGAAGCAGCCCCCACCTGCTCCCCCCGGGGGACTCGGGGTGAGGCTGATCCCCAGCCCCAGTCCTGCCAGTCGCGGCGATGAGCGCTCAGTGGGCACAACCGCGTGTCCCGCAGGCGTGGCAGAGTCCCCCTCCCGCCACCTTCCGGGTGATGGGAATCAGCCATGGGGAGACCCGAGGGGAGGCACCAGAGATGCCAGTGACCGGGGCGGGGGCAGGCTGGAGCAGCCCCTGAGGCCCGCTGACCCCTCCCGTCCCCCCCAGGGCTGCAGCTGCTGGACGTTCTGACACGGCTGCGGTGAGTCCCTGGCACGGTTCTCACCTCCAGAAGGGCAGGAGGGGACTTCCGCCCACCGGACCCAGGCCCCAGTGACAGCGCAGTGTGCCAGACGGGCCACTATGCGGGGTCTCCCTGCCTGGGGCCTTGGCAGCTGCCCCTGGAGGCTAGGGGTGCTACCTGCAGTGCAGGACAGCTAGCCGAGTAGGAGGGCTCTTTCAGTGTAAGTATATCCCAGATGCCATATAGGATATACTTATGCTGAAGGTCACTGGTTGGGTATCTGAAATTCAAACTTATTTGGGTACCCGGGAATCCATGTAGCTGAGAACCCCTGTCCTGAGCTTTCTCAGGCCGGCTCTCCTGGGTGGGACCCCAGCCCCAGGGATCCAGCTGGGGACCAGGGAGCCAGGGTACCAACCTGGGTCTGTGTATGTCACTGACCCTGAGCTCAGGCTGAGGTGTGCTGGGTGCCAAGAGGGGCCCACCCTGTCGCCAGGGGCGCAGCTCACTGGCCAGGCTTAGGTGACTGGGGGGTCCTAGACCCAGTGAATGCCCGAGCTCCCGCTCCTCAGGCCAGAAGCCCAGAAGCCCTGCCCCTCACAGAGGCCCCAGTGGGCCCCAGTATAGTCAGGGTGCAGGCCAAGGGGGACCCCTCAGTGTGGTCTGGGCATGGGCGCCCCCCTAGTGTGGTCTGGGTGCAGGCAGGGACCCCCCAGTGTTGTCTGGGTGCGGCAGGGACCCCCCCAGTGTGGTCTGGGTGCAGGCGAGGACTCCCCAGTGTGGTCTGGGTATAGGGGGACCCCTCAGTGCGGTCTGGGTGCAGGCGGAGACCCCCCAGTGCGGTCTGGGTGCAGCCGGGGACCCCCCAGTGCGGTCTGGGTGCAGGCGGGGACCCCCCAGTGTGGTCTGGGTATGGGGGGACCCCCCCAGTGCGGTCTGGGTGTGGGGGGCCCTCAGTGTGGCCTGGGCACAGGCCTTCCCTCCATTCTGGCCGACTCCAGCATGCACCCCCGCCCCGGGTTGCATCTCTCCCTGCGGGTGTCACAGCTTGCTCTTCCCCTTCCCGGGGGTCGTGGAGCCGCGGCTGACCTCAGGCCCGTGAGCCTCTGGCCCAGCTGTCCCTGCCTACAGCAACCACGTGCAGAGCACGGGCCCCGCCGAGCGTTGTCCACGCGTCCAGCCAGGGTCGGGGGAGGCCGGTGGGGCAGTGGCCTCAGCCCGCTGGCCCCTCTCGCCCCAGGGACCTGGAGGACGCCGACCTGCTGATCCAGCTGGAGGCCTTCGAGGAGGCCAAGGCCGAGGATGAGGAGGAGCTCCTGCGAGTCTGCGGTGGCATCAACATGAACAGCCACCAGGAGGTCTTTGCCTCCGTGTTCCACAAGGTGCGCCGGGGCGGGGACCCCACCAGGGACTGCACCTAGGCTCCTGGGCTGGGACGCGGCTGCCTGCCCGGCCCTCCAGGCCTCACCCCGACCAGAGCAGGGGGGCCAGACCCCAGACCCGGAGCTGCATCAGGGAGCAGTGAGGAGACAGGACCTGGAGCAGGCAGCCTGGGGGCAGGTCCAGGCTGTCACAGGCACAGAGCCAGGGCCCCAGCGCCCAGGACGACAGCCTCGTAAAGGCCAGGGCTGCCCAGAGGGGGCGGGACGGTCCTGGGCCCCGGCACGCGGGCCACCGTCCAAGGGCCCGAGGGGCTCCGGGACCAGCAGGAGGCTAGGAGGCTGAGCCCTGGTGCAGCTCGGGCCCTCCCTGGCCGGGACCTTCTGTCCTTCGAGGAACAGGGGCAAGTGTCCCCAGGGGGCATCCGGAAACATCCGGAGACATTAGGGTTGTCACAGTGGGGCAAAGGGTGCTACTGGCCTCAAGTGGGCAGGGACCAGCGTCCCACAGTGTACGAGGAGCCCCCCCGCAGGGAGAGTGGCCCCACCCCCAGTGTCACCGGTGCGACGGTCAGGGAACTGTGACCCCAGCTCGTCACGAGGGCCCCTGCAAGGCACAGAGTGCTGATGGGGTGGATGTTCCTGGCACGCTGAGGTGCGCCTGGGAAGGGCATGGCCACTGACCCAGCCTCTCCCCGCCCCCCAGGTGAGCTGCTCCCCAGTATCTGCCCAGCTGCTGTCCGTGCTGCAGGGCCTGCTCTACCTGGAGCCCACCCTCCCCTCCAGCCAGCTGCTCTGGGAGGCTCTGGAGACCCTGGTGAACCGGGCCGTGCTCCTGGCCAGTGACGGTGAGCAGGTGGGGCCGAGCGGGGGCGCCCGTGCCCACGGCCCTCCTGCCTCCCCCTCCCTGACCCCCGAGTGCTGCACAGATGGTGGGGTCTCGGACCACTGTGGGAAGGTAGCTGCCCCCCGCCTGAGGGCAGTGGCCACGCCTCTCCCACCGCCCCCTGCCCACCTCCTCTGCCCTGACCCTGACCCTGACCCCGACCCCCCACCCCAGCTCAGGAATGCACCCTGGAAGAGATGGTGGAGCGGCTCCTGTCTGTCAAGGGGCGGCCACGCCCGAGTTCCCTGAGCAAGGCCCACAAGAGTGTCCAGGCTGACCTAGGCCAGGGTCAGAGGGGCAGCGTGCCCCAAAACAGTGGGGCCCCGAAGGCCGAGGTGGAGGGCCCGCAGCCCGAGGCTGATCTCAGCAGCCTGCATGTCGTTGAGGACGTGACCGCTCCACAGCTGAAAGCCCCGTCCCCACCTGCACCCCCACTCCCTGGCTCCACCACGGGGACCCCTCCGCCTCCCCCCCCACCACCTCCTCCCCTCCCTCCCCCACTGCCAGGCCTGGGGGTCCCAGGCCCCCCACCTGCACCCCCACTCCCTGGCTGCACTGCAGGGCCCCCTCCCCCTCCCCCACTGCCAGGCCTGGGGACCCCAGCCCCCCCACCCCCTCCACCACCCCCATTGCCTGCCTCTAGCGGGGGCCTACCTCCCCCACCTCCACCGCTCCCCGGCATGGGGTGCCCACCCCCACCCCCACTGCCTGGCACAGATGGGGGCCCCCCTGCACCCCCACCCCTGCCGGGTACCTCTGGCCCGTCTTCAATCGGTGTGGAGGAGGTCATCGTGGCTCACGTGGGCTCCAGCCTGGGCTCCACCTTGGTCCCAAGCCACCGGCGGGTGCACGCTCCCACTGTGCGCATGAAGAAACTCAACTGGCAGAAGCTGCCGTCCAATGTGGCACAAGGTGAGGGGCCCCCCCCAGGCTCTGATGTGGCGTGAGGGCCTCCCCCAGCTCCGATGTGGGACGAGGTGAGGACTCCCCCCTGGCCCCCTTTGCCCTGGCTCTGTGAGTGGCTTCCTGCCTGAGGCAGGGGCTGGGCCCTGCTGGCCCGGAACTGCTATAGTTTATGTGCTCACTCCTGGGCCCTCCGTGTCCCCCCCACCGACTGTGGCCCAGGGCCGTGTGGTCTCTGCTTTGGACTCAGCTCCTGGGAGGTCTGGGCAGGACACGGGGGTCGTGGCGCCGCGGCTGACCTCAGGCCCATGAGCCTCTGGCCTACAGGGGCCACGTGCAGAGCATGGGCCCCGCTGAGCGTTGTCCATGCGTCCATCCAGGGTGGGGGGAGGCTGGCGGGAACGGGTCAGAGGGTCACCTCTGAAAAGCCTCGCTTCCCACACGCACCCCTGCAAGCTGATGGGCAGCTCCGACACCACAGCCCCACACGCCCGGGCCCCTGGGCGCCGATGCTCAGAGCAGGTCAAGGCCGGGGCCTCCTGCCACCCGGCCGGGTCACGGGCACACGGGCGTCCGCACGCATACACACGGCGTGACGGCAACAGGAGGGCTCCCCGCGTCCCTCAAGCCCCGGGGTGGCGCGAGCCTGACCAGGGCACCTCCTCCACAGAGCACAGCTCCATGTGGGCCTTGCTGAGCAGCCTGGAGCCCGAGGTGGTGGAGCCGGACTTCTCCAGCATCGAGCGGCTCTTCTGCTTCCCGGAGGCCAAGCCCAAGGAGCAAGCGGCGGCCCCGACCAGGAAGGAGCCCAAAGAGGTGGGGCCGGGCTGGGGCTCGGTCAGGGGCCTCTGGGGCTCCCCGGGCACCAACACCAGGCCGGGGGTGTTTTCCAGATCACTTTTCTGGACTCCAAGAAGAGCCTGAACCTCAACATCTTCCTGAAGCAGTTTCGATGGTGAGTGGCACAGCGCCGCTGCTGCCCAGCCCCCTACCCTCACCGGCACCTCCCATCCGGGCTCTGCAGTGCCCTCTGCAGGCTGCTCCCGGGAAGTGCATCTCCCATCCGGAGACCCAGACAGCAGCTGGGACCCCTGGGCACAGAGCGCAGCGCCCCCCACAGGTCTTGGGCTCTCTGGCCAGGGAGCCCCGGGGGATGCATGAGCCAGACCGCCCGGTCGTGAGCAGCCCCTGGAAGGGGGAGGCAGAGACTGCTCTGTTCAGCCCCCAGCCTCCTTACTGTGTGACCCAGGCAGGTGGTTCGCCTTCTCTGGGCTGCGGCAACCTCACAGGTGTGACTGGCGGAGATGTCTCAGGCCGAGGGCAGTCCACCACTGGCAGGGTCCCCAGGAGCCCACACGAGGCCCCTCTCCTCCCACCCCAGCCACCCCCTCTCACCTGCAGCTCCAACGAGGATGTCACCGCTATGATCCGGGCTGGGGACACCTCGAAATTCGACGTGGAGGTCCTCAAGCAGCTCCTCAAGCTCCTCCCCGAGAAGCACGAGGTGAGTCACGGGCACGTGGTGAGAGGGCAAGACACTGGCTGCCGTGCCCGGGGCGGGGTGCAGTACAGGGGAGTGGGGAGGAGGGCTTCGGCGTGCGGAGCTGCGCTGGGCGTGAGCGGGCGCCGGCCTGAGCTGGTCCACACACGTCCACACGGTGCAGGGGGCCTCCTGGGAGGTTCAGGATCTGGAACCCCAGGGGTACCCTCTTCTCTGCAGGTGGAAAACCTGCGTGCGTTCACAGAGGATCGGACCAAGCTGGCCAACGGCGACCAGTTCTACCTCCTCCTGCTGGGCATTCCCTGGTGAGCCAGCAGGGAAGGGGCTGAGGGGAGGTGGGCCCAGACCTCGAGGGGGGGTGGGGCTGTGCACGCCGTTCCCTCAGGACCCCGTGAGGAGCTCCGCCCCGATCGCCCCGATCCGAGAGCGAGGGGTGCCGCGCAGGGAGGCGGCCGCCCTCCTCTGCAGCGCCCAGAGTTTGTCCGGAGTGCCATTTCCTGGGCCCTGCGTACATCCTGCTGTGGCCCCGGAGCATGTGTGCTGCACAGAGACAGGCTGGGGGACCCTCCCAAGCTCTGTGTCTCCGCCCCTGGCAGCTGCCCAGCTGCGGGCAGGGGGCCCGGACCCTGAGCTCTGCTCTGCCCCCAGCTACCAGCTGCGGGTGGAGTGCATGCTGCTCTGCGAGGGCACGGCCGTCGTGCTGGACATGCTGCAGCCCAAGGCCCAGCTGGTGCTCGCCGCCTGCAACAGTGAGTGGGAGGCAAAGCCGGGGGGGGGCTCGGCACCAGGAGGAGGAGGGGCCCCCTCACCAGACACAGGCACTCTTGCGCCTGCAGGTGCACATGTGCACGCGTACACACGCACGTATACAGATGCGTGTCATGTGCACACACGCCCAGACGCGCGCACACGTGCGCACACAGACTCACCGCTTTCTCCAGATGAGGGAGCATCAGGAACACACCACGGCCACGGGGCAGGGCCACATGCCGTGGACGTCTCCTCCCGTCTTGGCTGCAGGGCCAGAGGGGCCACCTCCCTGAAGCCCCACAGTTAGCTAAAAACCGGGGAGGCCACGGCGACAACCATCTAGAAGGTTCCTCTCAGCACCGTCACCCCCAGAAAGGGCTGGGGGTCACGTGCCCCAGGGTGTGAGGGTTCAGTGAGTGCTAACGGTGTGTCACCTGCTCCCAGGTCCCCAAGGCTGTTCACGTGGGGGTGCAGCCATGCTCTGCACCCCTGAGCATGGGGGACAGGGCTGAAGGGGCACTGAGACCCCCGCTGCAGCCTCCTCTCCCTCAGCCCTGCGCCCTCCCGCAGGCCTGCTCACCAGCCACCGGCTGCCCGTCTTCTGCCAGCTGATCCTGAAAATAGGGAACTTCCTCAACTATGTAAGTGGGCCGCGCCCCCAGCTGCACCCGCACCCCCCGGGGGCAGGACGCTGACTCCCCGCCCTCGCAGGGCAGCCACACGGGGGACGCCGACGGCTTCAAGATCAGCACGCTGCTCAAGCTCACGGAGACCAAGTCCCAGCAGAGCCGCGTGACCCTGCTGCACCACGTGCTGGAGGTGCGCCCGCGGGGCCCGCTGTGCCTGGGGCCGGCGTGTGGCCACAGCGCACTCACCGGACACGTCCCTTTGCAGGAGGTGGAGAAGAGCCACCCAGGGCTCCTACAGCTCCCGAGGGACCTGGAGCAGCCCTCCCAGGCAGCGGGGTACGTGCCCATGTGCCCCCGCCCCCCCCGTCTCCCCTGCCCGCACCAGGACCCCCGCCTCTGGGCCTGCCCAGTAAGGGGGCTGGACCAGGCTGGGCCCCCAGATGCCCACAAGACGCTCGCTTTCAGCTTGAGATAGGACCCTGGGTCCATCGTGGTCTGGTGGCCTGTCCCCAGGTGATTGAGAGGAGGAAGTGGAGGTCTGGAAGGGAGGCCACACCAGGAGCCAGTTCAACACCACCCCTTTATCAGGTCGATCCTCACAACAGCCCGTGAGGAAGGCCCGTTGCACAGATGGGCAGAACGGAGGCCCGGGGAGGTGGGGCTGCATCCCTGGGGGTCACTCGGCCCAGAGGTGCAGCTCGGGGAGGGTGGCCTGGGCCTCCCAACCCCAGGGACGCGCGGCTGCGGAAGGTCGTCAGGTCAGAGAGCTGCAGAACGTTTCTCAGAGGCTCACACAGGACGATGGGCTGGGCCTTTGGGGTCACTATCCTGGCACCCCCCCCCCCAGCACTGCCTGGCCCTTCCCAGAGCTGTGATGTGCTTCTAGAAGCCTCTGTGGGTGCACAGTCCAGGGTCCCCCACTGCGCCGACGGGTGTGCAGGGTGAGGGCCCCCTCTGCCCCCACAAGACTGGACCCCAGCTGTCACCTGACCCCACGGGGCTCGCGGGTGTTTTGCAGGATCAACCTTGAGCTCATCCGCTCAGAGGCCAGCACCAACCTGAAGAAGCTTCTGGACATGGAGCGGAAGGTGTCCTCCTCCCTCCCCGAGGTGCAGGAGCAGTACACCCAGCGCCTCCAGGCAAGCAGGGCCGAGCTCGGGGAGCGGCCGCGGGGGCGGCCGGGCAGGGCCCGCTGGGCGCAGGGGAGGCCGGGGCCGGGGGCCGCAGTGGGGCCTGTGCAGGTGGCCGTCACCCTGCTGGGCTGGCTCCCTGTGACGGCAGGCGGCGCCCACCGTGGGGCCCTCCCAGGGCCGTGACCTCGCCCCCACGCCCCAGGCCAGCATCGAGGCCTCCCGGGCGCTGGACGCGGTGCTCCGGGCCATCGAGCAGAAGAAGCGGGAGCTGGCCAGCTACCTGTGCGAGGACTCTCAGCTGCTCTCCCTGGAGGACACCTTCTGCACCCTGAAGACTTTCCGGGACCTCTTCATCCGCGCCCTGAAGGTGGGCCCGCGGCCCCTGCCCGCCGCGGGGAAGGCGGGGAAGCGCGCCCGGGGCCGGGCTGGCGCAGTCGGGCTCACGGGCGCCCGCCGTGCCCGCCCGCGCAGGACAACAAGGAACGGAAGGAGCAGGCGGCGAAGGCGGAGACGAGGAAGCGGCAGCTGGCGGAGGAGGAGGCGCGGAGGCCGCGGGGCGAGGACGGGAAGCCCGGTGAGGCCCCCTCCTGCCCCTCCCCCACCCCTCTGGGTCGGCTTCTTTGCAAGGTCGCCTGCGCGGCTCCGGGGACCCACCAGCCGCCTCTCTGAGGGTCTCCGGGCTTCTCAGTCAGGAGGGGAGTCGGGAAGCAGGAGGAAGTGTGTGTCATTGACGCCCTGCTGGCGGACATCCGGAAGGGTTTCCAGCTGCGGAAGACGGCCCGTGGCCGAGGGGACGCAGAGGGGAGCGGCAAGGCGGCTGCCGTGGACCCCGTGAGGGACAAGGCACCAGGTGAGGCCGGCTCCCACCTCCTCATCACTGTTTCCTGCCTCCTCCAGGAAGCCCTCTCAGCTGCCTCGCTGTGGGAGGCGGGGCCGCAGGGCGGGCTCCCCCTTCTGCTGCTGGGATGCCTCTGCTACAACAGAGGGCTCCCCGCGGGTGTGACAGCCCCAGGCGGCGGGGGGGGGGGGGGGGGGGGACGCGCCAGTGCGGCTCTGACACTGTCCCTGGAGCTCCGGGGTGCTCGGGGGTCAGGGAGGGTCCACGCCACACGGCTGCCCCGGGGGCTTAGGGACGGGGGTGAAATAGGCCCTCATGGCGGGCGGACAGAGGATGCTGGGGCCTGTCCCCTGGGAAGCCCCTGCGGGAGGCTGCCGGCGATGACTCTGGGGCGGAACTGGGGGCGTCCGGGTAGAAGCGCGTGCGGAGGGAGGCCCGTCCCCCGCTCGGGCGCCATCGGGCTGACCTGGGAGTTGGGCGCCACCCTCAGCTGCCGTGTCCCGCGTCCACAGTGACCACCAGGGACCCTGTAGGAGGCACCAGTCGTCCCGCCTCTGAGCCCCACGGCAGGGACCTCGCGGACGCCCCGGCCCCTGGCCCACAGCCCACCGCTGAGCCGTCAGGGGAGGACGGGCCGGGGGCCCCGGAGAGGCGTTCCTCCTGGTACACCGATGCCAGCGACGTCCTGGCCACAGACGACCCCCAGGGCTCCCCGCTCCCCCCGGGGGCCTGGCCGGTGCTGCTGGGAGGAGCTCAGGCCCTGGAGCCTCTCAGGCTCTCTGGTGACCGGCCCCCCGAGGCCATGGGGTCGAACCAAGCCGCTGGAGACCCCGAGGCCCCTCGGGACGCCTGCCTGGCCGAGGCCGACAGCACGGTCTACAGCTTGGAGGCCACGGCCACCCGTGACCACGGTGTCGCAGAGGACCAGGAGGACACGGCCCCAGATTCTGCGCTGGACACGTCCTTGGAGAGGTCCTTCTCTGAGGAGACGGCGATGGACTCCTCGGGGTCCGGGACCCTCCCCAGGCCCCGGGAACGAGCCTCAAAGGGCACAGGCAAGCGGAGGAAGAAACGCCCCTCAAGGAGCCAGGAAGGTAACTGGGGGTCCCCTCCCATCATCCCTCGTGCCCCCGAAACCGGGGACCTGGGGTGGCAGGCCACACGGGGCTTGGGGGCACTGGTGTGTGGTCAGAGCCCATCTGTCCCCCACCAGGGCCCCGAGTCTCTCCCTGCAGCGGCCGTTTGGCCCCCTCCCCCCGCCCCCACCGCAGAGGGAAGGAAGCCACAGCCCTTCCACCTCTGCACGCGGGAGGGGCGACTGTGGGCGCCGCTGCCCGTGTGGCCGTGCCCCTGACCCGCTGGTCCCGCTCCACGCGGCCTCAGGCAGGGAGGGGCAGGCGGGGCGGGTGTGGCCGGGGGCCACGTGAGGCCCAGCCGTGTTTGGCTCGGCGTCCGCGCAGCCCCAGCTCCCAGCTCAGGGATGACCGAGAATAAGCCGTTGAGTGCGTTTCTCTTATTTGAAAGCAGAGGTTGTCCCTGACTCTGACGATAATAAAACAAAAAGGCTCTGTGTGATTCAGTAAGGTACGTACCGCCTGGCGCCCCGCACTAACGTGGCAGGGAGGCGGGGCCTCTAACCCGCTCCCTGCAGCCGCCGGGCCTGGCGCCAAGCCCCCCTGCGCCCCCTGCCGCTGGTGGCGGGACCTGCTGGCCCTCCATCTCGCCCTCCCGCTCGGGACCCCTGCCTCGCTTAGCTGGCGGCCCCGCTGCGGCAAGGTGCGACCTCGGAGCTGTGCGCCCCGCTCGGGGCCTCGAGAGGGCGGGGTGGACAAGACCCACCCGGGTGCCTCCCGGGGGCAGGGCCGCTGGGTCCCTGTCCCGACCAGTCTGGCTGGCGCCCCCCTTCCACAGGCACACCCAGCCCCGGTCGGGCCACACGTTCCCCGGGGGGCCGGTCCTGGAGCCCACGAATGGGTCGACAGCACCAGGCCCCCAAGCATGGGCGGGACCGTCCGTGTCTCTGACGAGGCCTGAGAGGCTCACGGGTGCAGACAGCCAGGCCCGGGGGCCCTGCTGCGCTCCCGACTGTGTTAGCGGATGCCGATCCGGTTTGTCACGGGTGGCGGCCCGTCAGGTTCTCACACACCCGCGGCCTTGCTCAGGCCGGCCCGGCTCCCCGCCCCAGGCCCGAGGCCTCGGCCGGTGCCCAGAAGAGGCAAGGGCAGGAGTGAAGCCAGGTGCACCCCTCTTTACAGTTTACCCTCACGGTCGGGTACAGCCTTCAGCCTGTCTGCTCCCGCGTACTTCCCGAGCGGGGCTCTCGTGTGAAACGGGGCTAGAACGTCACCCGTGTGTCCCTCAGAAGTCGGGATCCGTCCCCGCTGCTGGCCCTGGGTGTAGGGGACAGGTGGGCCGTGTGGTCTGTGGGTTTGGTGGCTCACGGCCACGTGTGGCCACTGTCCAGTGAAGGGCCAGGGTGCTGCCCCTGCTGCCACACAGCCCTCCCAGGTGCCCTCATCTCGGGGGGGGGGGCAGGAGGAAGGAGCCCCGTCCTCCTTGCCTCCTCAGACTTTTATTTGCAAAACGCCAACCCAACAGGAAGTTTGCAAGATGATAATGAATGCCACCCACCCTCCACCCCGAAATGGCAAAATCTGACAAAAAATAGCAAAATGATCAGCACTTGCTGCCTTGTTCTCAACTTTCAATTTGAAAGTTCTAGACATCATAACACTTGGCCCCTGAACCCGACCTCAGAGGTCTCCTAAGAGCAAGGCTGCTCTTCCCACCACGCCCCAGGAAGTTTCAGGGTCTGTCGTGTGACCCCAGGCGGGTGTCCCCAGGGGGTGTCCCCAAGGCGGGTGACCCCAGGCAGGTGTCCCTAGGCGGGTGTCCCCAGGCGCGTGACCCCAGGCGGGTGTCCCCAGGCGCGTGTCCCCAAGGCAGGTGACCCCAGGCGGGTGTCTCCAGGCGGGTGTCCCCAGGCGGGTGACCCCAGGCGGGTGTCCCCAGGCGCGTGTCCCCAAGGCGCGTGTCCCCAAGGCGGGTGTCCCCAGGCGCGTTTCCCCAGGCGGGTGTCTCCAGGCAGGCCCGTCACACCTTTCATGGCCGTGGTTTGGACTTTTTGGAAATGAGGTCCTCCCCAGGACCAGACCTCCAACCTCAGTCTGTCTCGTGTGACCCTGAAACTGTGGAAGACGCCTCACCCCACGTGTGTCCCACTGCCCCCAGCCCACGTGGCTCCAGGTGGTGGTTGGGCAGGAGTTCTGCATCCGTGACGTGTGTCCCCACCAGAGCAGCCCAGGAGGGCTCGGGGCCACGTCCCTGTGGTCAGTGACCTTGATGCCTATTACCTGGTTAAGGTGGTGACTCAGAGACCCCTGCTGTGCGGTGCCCTGGGCTCCCCCTGAGCCTGGCGCCATGTCCTGGCACCTGCAGTGGGGCTGGGCCAGAACCCTGCTCTGAATGTTTTTCTTAAGATTATTTTTAAAAATTTTTTAATGTTCATTTTTGACAGAGAGGGAGAGAGACAGGATGAGCAGGGGAGGGGCAGAGAGAGAGGGAGACACAGAATCGGAAGCAGCTCCAGGCTCAGAGCTGTTAGCACAGAGACCGACGCGGGGCTCGAACCCACGAACCCTGAGATCATGATCTAAGTGGAAGTCAGACACTTAACCAGCTGAGCCACCCAGGCGCCCCTTTCTTAAGATTATCTTTTTAAGTTAAATTATTATTGTTTGAGACACAGAAAGAGAGAGAATGGGGGAGGAGCAGAGAGAGAGGAGAGAGGATCCCAAGCAGGCTCTGAGCTGTCAGCACAGAGCCCAAACCGTGAGATTGTGACCTGAGCCGAAATCAACAGTCAGACTGACCGAGCCACCCAGGCGCCCCACTGAGTGACTTCTGACCTTTCTGCTCTTCGTTTTGTGCCCCATCTTTTTCAAGCCTGCTCCTCAAACTCAAGTCTGCCCCAGACCCATGGGGGCCTGCGATGGGCCTGGCTCTGGTGTGGCGGGGGGGGGGCGGGGGGGGCGCGTGTTTGGTGGGTGTGCTGAGCTAGGGCTCCTGGACCAGAGGGTTTTACCGGGCAGGGGACCTGCAAGGCCAGCTGGGGGGGGAGGGGATGCAGGTGGCAAGAACTGTCCAGGTGAAGACAGTGTAAGGGACCGGGAGGGTCACGGCTGGGGACACGCCAAGAGACAGCAGTGCTGGAGATCGGGGAGGGTGGACCATGCGCTACGGGCCCAGGTCTGGACTGGACTCATGGACAGGAGCTGGGGGTCATGCCAGCATCTCGCACCTGGAAGTCTTGCTGTGCAGGAGGAAGGGTCCAGGGTCAGAGTGGACCCAAGGAGACACAGTGCAGCCCCTGGGCAGTGGCGGAGGGGCAGCAGGAGCCTGGTGACCCCCACGCAGGCACCTCGGCTCTGTCCCCAGCAAGTCTGCTCCTAATGATGCCATTTCCTCTCGCTCCCCACAGGCCTCAGCCGTAAGCCCAAAGCCAAGTGAGAGCAGAGCGCCCGCGGCCTCCACCCAGCCGCAGCCGCCGGACGTGCAGCTGAGCGGGGCTCCTCCAGGGCCTGGCCGGGAGAGGGCCCCCAGGAAACCAAAACTCTGTGCCTTACCCTCCAGGGACGTGGGCCTCCTGAAGGCCGAGACCCCAGCAGGCACCAGAGCCCAGCCCCCCCCCACCGCACCCTCCTGGACAGCCTGCACGCCCCCCGCCCCTCCTGGTCTGCTTTCTGAATGCGATGCCCAAGCCGGCGCCCGCATGCACCCCAGCACCGCCCACAGGGGTGAGGGGCACTGGCTGTGTCCCCAGGGCACCTTGAAGCTTGCGCCCTGCCCTCCGGCCACCTGGTACCCAGATGCTTCTGAAGACAGGCCCTCCCCCAATAGAGCAAAGGAGCCCTGCGCCCCAGCTGCCCCCTTACCCGGCTCCCAGCTCTGCCTCTCAGCCTGCTGAGCCAGGCTGCAGCAGAGCAGTTTTTAACTGAAATAGGGTTGTTAATGCATTCCTGCTGCCCTGCGGTAGCCGAGTGGGGTATGGGCGGGTGGCAGGGCCCTGGGGCCTCGGGCAGGGGCAGGCTGGCCAGGAACGACACAAACAGGCCATGGTCCCCTTCCTCAGCGGACAAGAGGGGGTCCACACCCCGCACAGCGATCCTGGGGGTGGGAGGTTATCTGTTCTCGCTGCCCGCGCCAGGCCCCGACCACCCTGTCCCCAGAGTGACCGCCCTCTGCAGCCGCAGCCACCAGAGGGGTCCGGTGTGCCCCCCTCGCCGGCGGGCGGAGAGGAGACCCAGGGCGCACCCGGCGAGGGGCAGCCTGCCCTACCTCCGCGCCCGCGCAGGGGTGCGCGCCCAGGCTGGCATCTGGAGAGCCTCAGACCAATAAATCAAGAGCAGAGCCCGGCCAGCGAGTGCGCGTGGTGTCCAGAAGCTGCGGGCGAGGGTGCAGGGCGGGCAGTGCCCGAGGGGCGGAGGCCCAGCCGCTGTGAGGGGCCGGGGCGGGGGCGGCTGCTCCCAGGAGCACCCGGAACGGGGCAGGGCAGGCCGACAACACCCCCGAGGGCGCGTGAGGCGAGCGCGGCTCTCGGGCAGAATTCGCCGACATGCGTCTCACCCGCTGTGAGTAATTCGGTGACTTTTCAGCAGATGGAGGAGGCGTCCAAGCACCACGATCCAGTCCTAGAACCTTCCACCGACCCCCAAAAGTTCTCGCAGCGGTCACTCCCCGCCCCCTCCCCAGTCCCCAAATCTGCTGTCTCCGCGGACCTGCTTTCTGTGGATCTTTCGTATAAGCGGAATCGCAGTACGTGGCCTTTGGTGACTGGCTGCGTCCACGCAGCGTGTTCCCGGGACTCCTCCGAGTCGCAGCGCGTGTCGGGACTCCACTGCTTTTCCTGGCTGAGCAGGATCCCGCCGTGTGGCCGGGCCTCACCCTCTCACGCGTGGTGCGCACCGCCCCGCGTTGCTGCGGCGGGAAGCGCACACGTGCTCGTGTGCGCGCGTGCTCCGCGCGTCACCGGCCAGGCTTCACCTCTGCGGCGCTCTGTCTGCCCCCCGCCCCCGCCGTCTTCACCCCTGCGGCGCACTGTCCCCCCATCTTCACACCGGCGGTGCACTGTTTCCCAACCCCCCCCCATCTTCACCCCTGCGGCGCCTGTCCGCCCCGCCCCCGCCCCCTTCACCCCTGCAGCGCACTGTCCGCCCCGCCCCCGCCGTCTTCACCCCTGCGGCGCACTGTCCCCCCCATCTTCACACCTGCGGTGCACTGTTTCCCAACCCGCCCCCCGCCATCTTCACCCCTGCGGCGCCTGTCCGCCCTGCCCCCGCCCCCTTCACCCCTGCAGCGCACTGTCCGCCCCGCCCCCGCCGTCTTCACCCCTGCGGCGCACTGCCCCCCCATCTTCACACCTGCGGGGCGTCCGTGGTGTCTGTGTCCTGGACCACTGTGCGTGATGTGGTTCCTGTCCGCCCGTGGCCCTGGAGAGTGGGAACCCCACGGGGCTGAGCCCGAGCTAACACAGTGAGTCCCCCGAGCTTGCTGACCTGCTCTGCCGCCACCCTGGTGCCCGGCCCACTGTGCACAGGCCGCAGGGGGGTGTGTTCTAATTCAGGCAGGGCAGCGTGACCTGCTGGGCCAGGACAGGGCTTTTTATAGAAAAGCCCGACACCCCCGCCCCCAGGCCCTCCGGCTATTTATAGACCAGGGCTTGGGGGAGTCGGTGCCCCTGCTGGCCAGCGATGGGCCGTGCAGATCCCGTGTGAACCCCCACGCTGACCCGCCCAGCCCTGGTCTCCCTCAGGAAGGGCTCCANCCCCCCCCCCCCCCCCCCCCCCGCCATCTTCACCCCTGCGGCGCACTGTCCGCCTGCGCCCCTGCTGTGCAGGCGTCCGTGGTGTCTGTGTCCTGGACCACTGTGCGTGATGTGGTTCCGGGGGGCCCGTGGCCCTGGAGAGTGGGAACCCCACGGGGCTGAGCCCGAGCTAACACAGTGAGTCCCCCGAGCTTGCTGACCTGCTCTGCCGCCACCCTGGTGCCCGGCCCACTGTGCACAGGCCGCAGGGGGGTGTGTTCTAATTCAGGCAGGGCAGCGTGACCTGCTGGGCCAGGACAGGGCTTTTTATAGAAAAGCCCGACACCCCCGCCCCCAGGCCCTCCGGCTATTTATAGACCAGGGCTTGGGGGAGTCGGTGCCCCTGCTGGCCAGCGATGGGCCGTGCAGATCCCGTGTGAACCCCCACGCTGACCCGCCCAGCCCTGGTCTCCCTCAGGAAGGGCTCCAAGCCAGCACCCCCTTCCGCAGAGAGGAGCACCCCCATCTGATGTGACTCCAGCCGTCTATCCTCCCCTCTGCACTCCTTCTGGAAATGCAAACCCTTCCCACCTTCGTGGTTCCTTCTGCTGCAATCCTGCCTTTCTGCCTGGTGTCTACATAGCCAGTCCCTCTCCCACCCCCTCACTCCCAGAAACAACCAAGCCCCCCCTCTCCCCCCGCCACAGCCCCTCCAGGCCACAGGAGACCTTGCGCCCCACCTTCGGGCGGCTCCGCCTGGCCTGGCCTGGCCTTCTAGAAGGCAGCCCGCCTGCCCGTGTCCAGCTACTTCCCGCACGCTGCCACTGGGTGGGGGGGGCTGTCATCTGTGGAGGCCGAGGCCGGGAGGCCTGCCCCTTGCACCCCACCTATAACCCGCACTCTGGCGTTTACCCCACAGCAGTGCCAGGGGAAGGAACTGCCCGTGTGCCCTGTGCTCCCGTGTGAGAGAGGAGGGTCTAGGCAGCATAGAGAGCCCAGCCGGGGCCCCCGGGGGGGAGGGGAGGAGGGGGCAAACGAGGGGCAGGCTGGCAGGCAGTCCTGTGCCAGGTCTTTCTGTGAGGGGCTGTGTGTGGCAGCCAGAGTCTGCTCTCTTCCTCCGTGGGCGCTCCGGTCCCGGGGCAGGAGCCCGCGGAGCCCGCAGAGCCCAGCGGCCCTCTGAGCCCTGCCCAGAGGTTGGTGCTGGGCTCTGGGGCCCTCTGCCCACCCCCAGGGGGAACCGGGTGAGAGGCTAAGAGTGCACTCCTGCCCCCAGGCCCATGCCTGGCCCCTTCTCCCAGTGGAGGTGGGAGGGGGAGGAGGGGGGAGCCACGCCCAAACCCCAGTCCACTCAGGATGTCGGCGGTCCAGGGAGGCTCCCGGGCACCCAGCTGGGAGCACGGGAGCCCAGCAGACGGATGCAGATCCTCTCCGGAAACCCAGTCCCCGCGCAGGCTGGGGCAGGAAGGGGTCTGGTGTGGGGCTGGCCAGCATCCCTGGCTGTTTCTCCACTGGCCAGGGGACTCTGCCATCAGCGGTCCTGTGTCCCTGGATCTAGGGCCCTGGGACCGAAGGCGGCACAGCCCGGTGGAGCCCACCCGCCCCCATGCTGGACACACAGCCCCTGAGACCAGGCGTGGGTGTGCCGGGTGGGGACCGCCGCGCGCTCTCTCTGTGGCCACCAGAGTGCGCACTTCACTCCAGGGAGCAGGTTCAGCTCAGGGCAGGTGCGCAGCGAGCCCCCAGGATGCTGCCCCTCCAGGTGGCGTGTGAGGACATGGCGCCCCTTTTACAAGCAGCACTCCCACGCTGGAGTTCCTGAAATCCTGAGATCAGAGGCCTGGTGGGGACCCGGTGCAGTGCGGACCCGGGTCCTGCCTGGGCGGGGGGAACGCAGATGCCCCCATTCGCGTTCCCCCAGGGAGAAACCTGCACTGCGGAGCACTCTCTCTGTCTTTGGGCCCCCACCTCTGTGAGTAAGCGTCTGCGGCCCAGCTGGGCTCCCCGGTGGTGGCTGGGCGGGCGCGGGGCGGGACTGGCGGCCTGGAGGTCACCAAGAGGCGCCACCGCACCGGCCGGGCCCGCCCCCGGCCCGCCCCCTACCCCGGGCCGGCTCCTTTTAATGGTGCAGCGGCCAGGCCCTCCCGTGGCCCAGCGCAGCCGAGGAGCCAAACCAGCATGTCGGGGACCCGAGCCTCCTCCAATGACCGACCCCCCGGCACGGGCGGCATCAAGCGGGGGCGGCTGCAGCAGGAGGCGGCGGCGACTGGTTCCCGGGTGACCGTGGTGCTGGGCGCGCAGTGGGGGGACGAGGGCAAAGGCAAGGTGGTGGACCTCCTGGCCACGGACGCCGACATCATCAGCCGCTGCCAGGTGCGGGGCCCCCCCCCCAGCAAGCCCCCTCCTCCCCTCGCACCCGGGGACCCTGTCCTCCCGGCCCTGACCTGGACACGCCTCCTAGATACCTTCCCTTCCTGGACACCTGGGACCCCTGCACACTCTCTACCCCCCTCCCCTGCCCCTCCCCCAGGGACCGCCTCCCCCGCCCAGCCCCACCCCCCAAGGCGGGGGCCAGGGCAGAGCTATAAATACAAGTGCTGAGCTGGGCACACCTGATCCCCCCAGGGTGGGGTGGGGCGCCCTGGGTGTGGCGCTGGGCCCTCCGCGTGGGGGTGGGGTGGCGCCCCCGCCTGTCTGGTCTGAGACACTGCCCTCTCCTCCTGTCTGGATCTGGCACAGAGCTGGCCGGGGGGTGGCCCTGGGGCCAGGACCTGAAGGAAGACACACCAGGGGCAAGGAGGGTCCCGACCAGACTCAGGGGGAAAGGGAGGGGCCGCACACAGCCGGCCAGGGTGACCCGGTGGCTGGCAGCACCACCGGAGAGCCAGACAGGCTCTTTCCCCAAGGGCTCAGGGTGGGCACTGCCAGCTGTGGGCTCTCTGCACACTGCCCCCTGCACCAGGGGCAGAGCCAGGCTGCTGGGTGACAGCTCAGGGCCCAGACAGGCGGGCGGGCGTTAGGCCGCAGGCTGTGGCTTTGAAGCAGTTTGGAGCCGTGCCCAGAAATGCTGCCCCAAAAGGGGAGGGGACACCCCCCGAGCTCCTCGGCCTGGTCTGTAGTCTTTCCCCCGGCCCCTGCCAGCAGGGCTTAGGCTGGGGCATGGCCCCGGGGAAGGGGGAGCCCAACGCTTGTCTCTCGGCACACGTCAGCCGCTCTCTGGGCCCCCTCCGGGCAGTGGGTTCCTGGAAGGTGCTTCCTGGGGTGGGATTGTGAGAGGCTCACACCCTCTCTGCCCTGAGCTGGGCCAGCGAACCATTCCTGTCCCCTGAGAGCCTCCAGGGGACAGAGGCAGTCCCCAGGTACCCCGCTACACGAGCTAGGTGCCCTTGTCCCCTGCTTCTGGACACACGGCGCCTCGGCCCTGCATGTAACCTGCCGGCCCCAGGGAGCCTCTCCCGTGTGTCTGGGGCCCGTCTCCCTCCTGAAAAGACTGGGGGGGGGGGGCTTTGTGTGCTCCCCTGGTTCTGGAAATGGTTCTGGAGCGGGACCTCCCTGCTCTGCCACCTCGGTCAGCAGGCCAGGCCCCCCCCTCCGGTCTGTCACTGGCCAGAGTCCT